GAAGTGGAAGACAAGGCCGGAGAGGGACGAAGTAATGGTAACCTCGGCAACGCTTATGATAGTCTCAGACAGTTCAAAACAGCAATCGAGTACCATCAACGACACCTAGAAATTGCTAAAGAAGTGGGAGACAAGGCCAAAGAGGGACCAAGTAATGGCAACCTTGGCTCTGCTTATGATAGTCTCCGACAGTTCAAAACAGCAATCGAGTACTATCAACGTCATCTAGAAATTGCTAAAGAAGTGGGAGACAAGGCCAGAGAGGGACGAAGTAATGGCAACCTCGGCTGTGCTTATCATAGTCTCGGACAGTTTAAAACAGCAATCGAGTACCATCAACGTCATCTAGAAATTGCTAAAGAAGAAGACAAGACCGGAGAGGAATGAAGTAATGGCAGCCTCGGCAACGCCTATTGTGGTCTAGGACAGTTCATTACAGCAACTGAGTACCATCAGTGTTCTCCAAAAGTTTTGAAAGAAGTTGGAGACAAGGCAGGAGAGGCATTATCACTCTGTTACCTTGGAGTAGGTTTTGAGTGCCAAGGAAATCTTAGGTGGGCATTTGATTGCTTTCACTCTAGTGTAGAGGCGTTCGATGGTATCAGGGCCAATCTGCAATTTAACGATGAGTTGAAGATTTCTTATCGTCATCAGCATAAAATTGCATACAAAGGCTTGTGGTGTGTAAATGTAACACTAAATGAAGTTGTTAAGGCTCTCCTTGCCGCAAAGAAAGGACGTGTACAAGCTCTGACAGATCTCCTGGAAACAAAGTATCAGGCTGGAGATTCTTTAAGGAACAGTGTCTCATTCATTTCCCTGAGTTTTGTTCCATCAAGTACAGTTTTCATAGCTATAAGAGGACCTCACGTTTTCTTCTGGGTTTTCCTCGGCGGCGATAATGTCCACTTGAGAAAGGTACGTGTGAACAATTATAAGTATGGGGAAGAATTGGAATTTTTCATCGAGCAACTGGAAAGAACCGCTCTAAAGAAGATCGGTGTAAGAGATACTTTTACAGGAAAAAATCCTTCACATGAGTCACCGGAATCGCGGGAAGTTGGAAGAGATGTGACTCGAGTTGATGTGAGGTATTTGCAATCAAGTGCTCTACAGAAGCTTTATGACATCATCGTTACCCCCACTGCTGATCTGATTGAAGGCAACGAGCTTACAGTTTTTCCCGAGGAACCATTTTGCCTTGTACGTTATGCAGCATTGGAAGATTCAAAGTCAATTTATCTAAGTAAGTTGTTTAGAATTCGTGTGCTTCTATCCCTGACAACCTTTCAACTAATCAGTGGTTGCCCAGCTGAATTTGACTTGAATACTGGTGCTTGTTAACGACCCGTGTTTCAAAGAGATTATTTCTCAGAGAAGACGGCTGGTGCAACTTCTGGGAGCAAGGGAAGAAGCGGAGATGATTAGACGAATCCTCAATATTTTCCCTCTCATTGGAAAAATGGCGTCCAAAGATGAAGTGTTAAAACGACTTTCATCAGTGACTTTAGTACACACTGCAGTGCATGCAAAGATGGAAACTGGGGAAGTTATCCTGGAACCAAACACCACGAGTGAAAACCCTCAGCCTCAAGAGAAAGACTACCTACTGACAATGAAAGTTGTGCTAAAAGCTGGGCTGCGGGCGCAACTGGTTGTTCTGAGCTGTTGTCACAGTGCTCGTGGGGAGGTTATGGCCGAGGGTGTGGTCGGTATCGCCCGAGCATTCTTGGGTGCGGGTGCTAGATCGGTAGTGGAAACCTTGTGGGCGATAGATGACGAGGGAACCCTGGAGTTCATGAGTTTCTTCTACAGTGAACTTGCCAAAGGGAAGAAGGCAAGTGAAGCTCTCAGTCATGCCATGAAGTGTATGAGAGAATCTGAAACGTTCAAGAAGGTGAATTACGGGGCACCATTTGTACTCATTGGTGATGACGTTAAACTTGATTTCAAGCATATTTAGTTGCAGATCCATGTAATTACTCTTTTTATAACTTTTATGCACTACAAAGTAAATTTAAATCAAGCTTATAGTCATACCTTTGAGAATGGATCCTTTGGTCCCTATCTTTCTAAAGTTAAGGAAATTCTTTTCTCCTTAGGAAATTGAGATGTTTGGGAATTGAGTCGACGCTTCATGACCACGGACTAAACAATGATAACGTCTTTCTTAGAAAAGGTGATAGAAGTAAAAAAAAATTCTGCTGTAAAAAATTTTTTGCAGTGTGTGGTTTTATGATGAAAAGCCGCATGTGAAAAGTTAGCTTTTTTAGTCGTTACGGCGGCCAATTTACAATTTCAACTGAGTTGATATAACCAAATTACCTTGTTATCCCCACCGACGCAACATCACAGTTTCTTTAGAAACTTTTAGCCTTTATAATTTTAAGTAAACTCAACGACCCTCCCTAAATTATGATTCTTTTGTTTTTCAGTGAAGGCGGTGCGCGTTGGAGCTGTACCATAGAAAGACGGGACCCAAGGAAGTAAACGGCCTCCTACAAACGTTGATGTTTGGAGCAGAAACTACAGCACTACCTAAGAAATCTATCTAAGAGTTATTTATTCAAAGCAAGGAGAACCAGAAGAGTCTTTAAGAGCACATATGAATTTCTCTTGTTTCAAATGTTGATTTTTTCACTCGTCTTAAATGCGCTTATGAACTAAACAATTTTGGACACGGAAAAAATAAACCATTTTATAGTGTATTTTTCTTTAAAATCTTTTTCGAAATAGTAATTTAAAAAAAAATGTCTTGAAATTATCACGACTGGCTATGTAAAGAAGTTCACATTTTTTTAATCTAACATGAATGAGGTTGTTATTTGTAGACAAGTTTTGGGTGTAACATTTACTTTCAAGTTGAGACAACTTGAAAACGTTTTCCAAAGATATTTTTAACAATTTTTTTCCTCTGGCAGGTTTATTTTCCTTATTGTTGATATAAAGCTATCAAAGCCATGTAAATGTGTTAAGATTTTCATCGAAATTGTAGATTAATCATTTTTTTTTATTGTTCGTTTATCTTAGTTTCAGTCGAATTGAACTTGTGATTCACTTTTGAAGAAAATTTAACTAATTATAGTTAGTTTCTTATCACGATCATCGGATTTGTCGAAATTAGAATTTAAAATTTGAACGTTTATGGTCAGTATGTAATCTTAGTATTAACGATGCTTCTACATATTCTTCTGATGTGTATCAATCGAGTTTCGCTCTTTGCTAAAGCATTCCCAAAACACGGACTTGTGTTGTTAACATTTTGTTCTCTTCTCAAGATAAGTCGGAGTGCGGTTGTTCCGCTATAAGTCTTTTCTTTAAGTTAATAAAACTAAAGCATGTAAATTCGAATCTGGGTATAATTTCATGATATAAATTGACAATAGCTAAGGTTTTATCGTTTGTTTCACGATTTGGTCACTTGAGATGCTTATCCCAAGGTCTACTCGGTACCGAGCCGTTAGCCTTCATCGGATGAAGAGATCGACCACTCGTTACCTAGAACCATACAGGTCACGATGCCTCGCTCTCTAGTTGGTTCCCAACAGCTGATTTTAGAAAATTTCCACTTTCCTGATACTCTTTTTCAAACACATTGTCGAAGCTGCAGTGAGCGCTTGGGAAAGGTGGATGGCTACGTGATAATACATGACCTCTGTATTATTCAAACGGATGCTTTGCAAATAACGCCATCTTGCATAGTCAGGGTAACAGCATCTTTTGGCTGCTCTTCTTCTGACCACGCTGTGCTCACTGAAAATAAAAATTATCGCCAATGATACATATCGTGACATATGGCAGGGTAACTCGGCAGAGGATTTTTAAAAACTTAACCGCGTGCTTAGAGCTGGTGCTTGAGATTATGGAACAAAAAAATTTGCAGAGATAGAGGCTGTCAGACAGGTGGCGGGTTTGTAAAAATACCACGTTTTGCTAATGGCGAATAACTTGGGCGACTCACTAATCTTAGATTGGCGTGCGTATGCTGCTTTAAATAACTTTATAACATAGTCAAAGAAAAGCGCGCGCTCTTATTGGCCAATTCAGTGTCCATCAATCGCCCTTGGGTGTACGTTGCTGGGTGTTACGTAAGCTCATGCTAAGACTAGTTTTCGCACAAGGCTCAAGAAGCTAGTGTCGCTCTCGGCTGTCACCTCGCGCAACTCTTACACTTCTTTCGTGCTTAGCAACCTCCCACGCGCATCCATAACTCAATAATGTACGCTGTGGTGTTGACCATTTGTTAATCAAATAGTTTGTCTCAAACTTTTGCTTATTGAAACTCATCCTTTTTTAGGTTTAAAGTAAGTAAAAAAAATAACAACAATGACATTTTTAATTTTTGTTTTAATTAGCTCTTAAGTTAATTATTCCATTTACTTGCACTTGAGTCACCTAGTTTCTAATTCAGCAAATAAACTGATATCCCAATGTATTACAAATAAGAGAGCAGGTTGACAAAATTAGTCAAATGCTACCGATTGGACTTTAGAGGCCTTATAATCTATCTTTGACAAGAGATTGATTGAAGGCCTGTACGCTTATCGAGCACTTAATTTGAAATACTGAACAATATTAGGTAAGTGATACCATTGACATATAATTGAATGCATTTAGTCATTAGGCAACTTTTTTAACTCTTCTGTTTCAGTTGAGAAGCTGAACAATTTCTCAATAACATTTAAAAGACTAAAAGTAAAATGGAAATTATATTTGAAGTAGGAAAAAAAATCCAAGAAATGAAAGACAGAGAAGGGCCATCTATTTTCTTTGTTGCTCGAAAATGCTTATACTAAACAATACATTACTCTAGTTGCTGCTAACTTCAGGTCTAGTTAAATTCTGTGTTTTCCGTAAATTTATTTATTGCGCAACGTAAAATAGCTAGAAGACCTCTTAGTTAACTCAAACCAGAAACTGGGAAAGCTTGGGAGAGGCGTGCATCCAAGGCAAGAACAAGCCACTCGGCCAGCAGACGGTGTCTAATTTTTCCCTTCCTCTTATCCCTTGCTGGCTTCTTTTGTTTTTTTGTCTGCAGCTGGTTGCTTTTGTTTGTATCCACCATATTTTGCGCGGAACTGATCCGCAACGGAGGCATCGATCTTATGGAAGAGCGGTTTGGGCTAGGGAAATAGACAAAAATTGAGAAGTTTTGCTTTTTAAACGTATAATGGCGAAGATATTCTAGGTTTCAGTTTCGTAATGATGGTCCATGACCCACGAACTGATAGAAAATTAATAGAACACAAAATTACCAGTCTTTCTCTGGATTAAAAGGATTTACCTTTTATTGGTCTAGAATTACGCGAAAATGTTAAAGGTATTGATGGGTTGCCTACTTAGTTATTTGTGAAAATGACATCACTATGATGATAATGAATATGACGATGATACGTGTGATGATGATGATGATGACGATGGTAACAACAATAATAATAATGAAGAGAAGCAAAAAAGATGATATGGAGACGGTTGCCAGCTTACAGTTTCTAGGTTCTTCTGCAAATTCAGTCTCGTCTTTACTTCTTTTTGTTTAATAAGTTTTTATTTAAGAAAATGAACACTTGTTTTCATCTACTATCAAAAATGTCCTATTGTTTTGTTGTCATCAGGCCCTTCTCGTAAAAGGTGACGACAGATACAGACTTGAAAGCTGGTGTTTCCTTCCGCACATCTTCTGTCTTCTCTTATTTGTTTGCTCTTACCGTTCCAATTTTGTGACCAGTTTCCAGATAAGGAATAAAGTTGTCCAACACCACATTGCCTTCGTCGGAGACCTACCAAACAAAGGACGACTTGTGTTTAAAGTAGATTGATAAAGGAAAACAGTTCTTACAAAACTCTTTAACCTCCCGCACTTGCCCTTGGACGCAGTGAGAGTTGCGAGAGGGGATTGGGAGCTGTAACTTCAGCCTTTGATTTCTATGTTCCCGGTCGGATTTGATAATTCATAGACATTTAAAGAATTTAACAGATTAGGCCGGATAGTTTAACTTTAAGCGGAGGGGTAACCAACATATTACACTCTGTTTATGAGAAATTCTAATTCAATTGGTTATCTGAAGATTACCCAATTGGGGTAATAGTTTTGCACGCAAAACGGACCTACCTGCAACTGGCGTTGAATTTCTTCACTGACTCCTGGCATGTATGGATGAACGAGAACAGAAAGCAGCCAAGAGAGGTTTGCTGTGATGCCTATGACTGTGCCTGCACGTGATCTTGATGATAAAAAAATATGAATGGCTTACGTTATTTGCAGTGAAATAAAAGCGCAAACACTAGGGGATTGCTTCCAGTGGGGTTTTGCTTCTCCCTCTTCCACTTGTTGAATCATTATGACAAGTTATGTTTTTATTCATGGGCACGAAAAAACGTATTAAACCCGATCTGAACCCGGTTGTTTAGAGAACTACTCAGAGTTAGCCAAAACTTTATCCATAATTTATAAGGTTTCCTGTTTCTAGTAAACTAAATGAGAAACGTAAACCTAAGCGCATATTCTTCTTAAGACATAGGTATCAAGTAATTTTTTAGCTTAAAAGGATACCATGAAAAACGTAAGCTTAGATCTATGGCTGATCCAAGATAAAACCAGGCCATAAATCTGGTTCAAGACCAAAAAATAATTTATTGACCATTGGCACCTTTCTGATTCGCTGCCCTTGAAGAGAACCCACGGCTGGTTGGAATGTATGTACTGATTACCAAGCTTGGATATGTTCAGTACGTCTTTTAATCCTTCTCGGAGCCTAAAATGTAATCATGACATTGTTGGACATAAAGATTGTTTTTTCTTTCGGAGAGACGTTGCACAGGTTAGAACCAACATTTGAGGTATGTTTAAACAACTAAAGAATTGCTTGGTGTAACAGACTTCGAAAGAAAAATAAGTTGTAGCCGGGTTGATAAGCTAAGGAAATGAGTAACTCAAATGTGGCAATAACTATGTGCTGAGTTTATTATCCAATTTATTTTGCCTAAAGAGGTACGCATTCAAACAACGAATCATTTGTTGGACAAGTTATCTTGAGTTCATTATATTTTTCCAAAGCTACATAGATTACCTCATTTTCTCAAGATTATCGATGTACGTCTTTAACTCTTTATTGATAAGTGCGATGAACTTCTTGTCCTCATCTGTCAATGCCATGGCTGGTATACAACTATCAAAGTTGTTCTGGACAAACATCAAGGCGCTAGAAAAAAAAAAGAAATAATCTATCATAATCACTAACATGTCTTTGGGTGCTACAGAAATCTCCAAATCGCTACGGACGACCCTAAAATGCAAAAGACAATGAAACAAGTTACCCAACAGCAAACTACAGCAGTGAGGACATACCGGTTAATGAAATTGCCAAAGTTGTTGAGCAACTCAGTGTTGTTACGTGAGACAAAATCCGACCAACTGAAAGCACTATCCTGTTTAGAAAAAACAAAACGTGTAAATGAAAATACTAACAGAAACTTCAACAGAGAAACGTAACAGGAACAGTGGCAAATCAAACAGACCTTAATGCACCTCTCAAATGTGTAGGTTTAAGACAGTTGTCACCGCAATGTTGATAATTTTCCATCGCTTCACGAACATTCCAACGGCTCGTTCACGGTCAAAATGTTAGGTTATGGTACGGTAGAAACGAGTAAGCTTAAAAATAATGGATGGGTAAATTACTTATGGCTCTAAAGAAAGAAGTGCCTCACCTGACTCTCGGGCCTGACGAAAAGCAGGTAGAATCTCCACACATCTGCAGCTATGCCTGTGTCGGCTGCATGATCACCAAACACTCCCACCCCACGACTCTTGGAGAACTTGTCATCTTCGTAGTTGAGGTATTCTGGGAACAAGAGGGAGATAAAGTACTAAGATAATTTCTTTAATTTCAACCCAGCAGCCCATATATCGTCAATTTTCGGGCATGATGCCATATTTTAAGATAATTATAAAATTTATGGAAGCGTAGGAGTCGTACGCGGAGATAGCCGAGAGCGCTCTAGCTTCTTGAGTGGTTAGGACACCTCCCAAGTGCATCCATAACTCGATAGCGTACAATGTGGTGATTTCCATTTGTTCTATAACGTAAAATTGGTACATTGTAGCAAAAGAGGATGGATGCCTCACTAAAAAATAATCGAAACGAAGTTTGAAATTAACCAAGTTATATATGTTAGTGCCAGCCGTTTTCGAAAAAAAAAAAACTGGTCTAGTTTAAGTATGCAGAAGGACAGATTACTTTAAGTCGACGGTGAGAACAAAAAGGTTTACAATTCAAGTAGAACGACATTAAAAGCGGACGCGGAAAGTTTCATTACCTGTCGCGCTGATAGAATTCAAAAGACTGTAGTTATCGTCTGCACCAATCAGAGTGCACGGGAACACAACAGTATGAAAAGGGACATTATCCTTTGCCATGAACTGATGAAGAGAGACCTGAAAGAATTTAATTTTGCATCAAAATTAGTGGGATCGGAACCTGACCTAAGGTCACTGAAAATTTTCGAAGACCTCAGTTACAACTGAATACCTTTAATGTAGTTTTGAGGCTATCATCAAACCTTAGAAACGAATGGAAACAGTTCAAGATAATTGAGACCTTAGATTCATGGAATTTGGTTAACTCTGCCACGATAGCGTTTATAAAAGCCCAAGACAGACAAAAAAATGTTTGAGGATTTTTATAGCCAAATATTTCGGATAAGATTCAGTTGTATGGTTGGACTTATGCACATCAACTGTAGATTATCATTGTTTAATTTGAAGCATTTATTTGGCAGCAATGTAGCTAAAGTAGCAATCATAATGATATACAGTAATAAGATACAGCTTAGTTAAATAAGTTGATATTTTCCTATGGCTCACTTGTTGAGGGTTTTTCCACCATTTCTCCCACTCGTTCGTGTAGTTTGCTGTGATGGAGAGGTACCTGAAACAATTAAGAAAAATGCAGAGTTTTTCAATTGCCATTAAGGGTCATAGCTACACTCTTAAGAGAAGAGAAAAGAATCATAAGCAGAAGTTAATTATAGGAAATTAATCGTATCAACATAAAAATTTTCACCATAAAACGCTTAAAAATGAAAAAAATATTAACTCACCCTATTGGTGCATCAAACCACACGTAGAAGACCTTATCCGTGTATCCTTCCAAAGGAACAGGGGTGCCCCATTTCAAATCACGTGTAATGCATCGTGGCTTGAGGCCCTCCTTGATCCAACTCTGAGTAATTTGGCGAGCATTTAAGGTCCATGTGCCTTACAAAAAGAATAATTTTAAAAAAGATCGCGTTTAATTTGAATTGATTAGAAGGAGAATGCAGTTGTGAATGGTTTTAGGAAAATCAAAGAAGAATGCCATTTTAATTGATCGCTTCTAAGACAGATCAGGTAGAACTCTTCAGATTACCTTCAGAGGAAGATTTGTCGATCCAAGTCTGCAAGGACAATTCCAGCTGAAAGGCATAGAAGTATGCAATTTAGTGCCAGTGACATTATATATGGAAAGTATTTGTTAATCATGGACAGTCTTTACCGTAACCTCGCTCAACATCGAGTTGGCAGACTGCAGACAAGCGGATATGTGGACGCACTTCGTAATTTTCCGTAGGCTTTTTGAATGAAACCAAAGACACGTGAGCTAGGATCTCTGAAGACTTTTAATTTTCCTCGCATAAAATGGAATGTAATGAAGTTTTTGCCTCTTTTGCTTCGTTGGAGTTTGGCACATTTTACAAAAATCGCACACTCTTGTTGAACCAGTACCTTGGGCAAATTCAAAAACAAGTGCTTGCTGCTTCTCACTTTTGATGTTCCTCCACAAACCTTGCATCGAGGTTTCTGAAAAGCAAATTTACCTCAGGGGTGTTTGAGGAGGCAACACAATGATTAATGTGAATCAGTTAGACACTCCTTGTTACGTAGGATTATAATTGTAGGCGTTTATCGCATAGAGGACATCGAGGTACTAAATCTGACACCAGACCCGTATAACTTTGATTCCAATACGATTTAATCTGATATCAAACACGTCAAACTAAAACACAAACAAGAAAACCTAGTCTAAGCGACATTACAAGGAGCTAAACTAAAACAATAATTATTACATAAAAATACAAAGATCGAGCGCATAAACCCTTACAATAATCGATCAAATGATAAACGAAAACAACAACGGGAGAGAAAAATACGCTTACCGATTGTCCTCTCTGTACGCCTTATTAACCAGAAGTCGCAAATGATCGCAGATAACTTTATCGCAGATAACTCTATCGCACAAACTCGCATAAACTCTCCTTTTAGCGACAGCGCACGAGGCCACAACGCACGAGGTCACAATAATGTCTCACTAAAACTTTATATTTAACTTAACGACAGTTACAAGGATAAAAGCGGAGTATTTTTACCCCTAGTAATGTTTTCATGACACAAAGGTCGCTTGCTCGCAGATATAAGATTCACACGCTTTGTATGTTGTTTTTGTAATAACTCGTTAGATAAATCAACTGATTGCTCAAAAATGACGTATAAAACTTTTTCTAGCCTCTTTCCTTCGGTACGTTCAAAGTAAAAGAAAACCAGCTTTACCTTAAGCTCAATAGCGTTAATAAGCTTTCCACAGGAATCGCACTGATCTCCTCTGGCACCCTGCAAATGCAAACACGATAAGTAGAAAAAGTGATTTACTTTATCAGGGATAGCTAAGAGTACGAAACAAAACAAACTCAGCGGCATCCAGTTGTTGGAATAAGGGACTAAAAAGAAGATTTATACCTCTGCAGTTCTTGTGGACTTAGATAACATGGAAATGGGATGGCTTACCTCATAGTTGCAGAAGGGACATGTACCCTCAACAAAACGGTCAGCAAGAAACCTGTGAGAAGAACGGACCACAATGGTGGGGAAATAAAGTTATAAGCGTGCGTCATCATGCCATTAAAAAGTGACTCGTTTCTCTGCAGCTCTCGACGACTTGTTTCACTGACAGAGAGTGAATGAATTAAAACTGATACCACAGCGACGGTGACTTACTTATCATCATGACATACATTGTCTCTTCTGACTATACTCAATTCCAGTTGGGTTTAAATTAGTTTCCCGTGTTTGTAAAGGTAAAGCCACGTATACGACACTGGACTTAAAACGTTTCCAAATAGTTGAATTTAGTCATATACATAGGGATTAGTAAAAGTCAAACCTTTTGCACTCCACGCACTGAAGCTGTTCCAGGGTGTCCTCAACTAAGTGATCTTGTTTGTGAAGTCGCCAGAAAATGTCTTGGGCGATTCTAGGGGTAATGAAGACCAACTTTTTTCAAATATTTGATAAAAAGGTTGACAAGTAGCACGTTGTCATCACTTTTCCAATGTAGTTCAAGTTCGGGGAGCCTTTGTGACAATATCGTCCACTATATATTCAATTAAATGCATTTGGGGTTTCTTAGTTGATTCGATCAACCATGATTAATTCACCAATTTTACCTAGCCCCATCTGGGGCTCGGATTTTTCTATTACACTAAAAATTGTTTCATCTTTAAACCTGAGTTCAGACAGTGAATATTGCGGTATGGCGATGTGACCCATGCGGCTGCACAAGAGTGTCGTTGATTTTCTCCGATACTTTCAATAAAACTTTTGAGTCAATGTGCACTACTATGCTGCTTCGGTAAACATCCACACTCAAATTCTCAGCCAGTAATTATCGTTTTTCGAAAAAGAGAAATATTTCCATTAGATCGACAAGGATTAGTTAGCGAGGAGCTCAAGAGTGTATTCGGTTTCGTTTCTTAAAAAATTGAAGTTTGAAATTGAAAAGTGAAGATGACCTGTCTGTTAAAAAAAAAAAACCCTAATACTGTCTCAAGAGCGAAAAAGGAAAAACCACATCCAAAACCTCTAAAGATAGCCCTCAGGATGCAAGAGACTAGAGCAAGAACAAATAAAAACAATGTCACATCATAAATTAAACTCACTCAGTCTGTTGCTGAGTGGTTGTTCTCCCAAAGAAATCAAACTTGATCTGAAACCATTCGTAGACTTCTTTGTGAATCTTGAAGTACTTGTCACAGATCTGCTGGGGTGTAAGACCTTCTTCTAACGCCTAGCGTAAGGAGCAACAACATCAATGTTATCTTTACAAAATCAAGAGTACCGTTAATTCGTGGATGGAGTTCTTGCATAGTTTTACAAATTAAAAAGGCCAGCCTAAATGACCACAAAACCATTAACACCTTTTACTTCGTTATATGATTTTTCCGTATTTGCATATCCACGCACAACTGTTGTGACTATGTTTTGATCTTTGTACGGCTGACTTTCAGAAATGACGTTCAGTATTTTTACCTTGGTTTCTGTGGCTGTGCCGTATTCATCCGTCCCACAGATGTAAAGCGTGTTGTACTGACGAAGGCGGCAAAATCTATAGAGCGATGCACAAAAGAACTAGTGTAAAGTAACTGCTATTTCGATTCCTAGATGACAAGGAAAATCTTATTAAAATAATCAGATCACATGCTGAAAATAAGAACTATCAAACTGGAAATTATACATGTACCCCGAAAAAGGTCAAATGTAACTTCTCATAATTTGTCAGCCCTTGGAAAAATTGGAACATAGCAACTGGACACATTCATGGGATGGAGGGAGGAGAACCTGTGGAAAGGCTTTGTCTCTACGATTAGTGGGTAAGGACCGGTTTCTCGAATCTCCTTTTCATTACTCATACCAAAAGTTTGTTTTTTGTTACAGTATTTAAATCCATCATAAAATGCGAGCTTTGAAATTAATTTTAAAATAAACTATTATTTGGATTGAGCTTTGAACTGGTATGTCTTCGGGCCGGTATGATTATTGCCGAGTTCCCTTAGGGTTGTAAGGAAGCACTAGGCAGCAAGCAAAAACAAATACAAACCAAATAAGCAGGTTTAATAGGATTCTTGGAGGGCTTTTCCGCTTCTGGCAATTGGATCTTATATTACAGTTTCTCCATACAGTTACTGTCCTCATGGCAAAGATGTACATGTGTGGAAGACGCAAGAAAGGAAGGACTTACGTGCTAACGTAATTATTATACGGTAATAGTATTGAAAAAAATATCCGATATAAGAGGAAATACAAATGAAAGCGATTTTCAAAACTCGTGCGTAGTTTTTCCTTTGGTAAAGGTTTAGGTACCTGGCAAATACGTCAGCACTAAGGACACAGCCAATGATATTTCCCAAATGAGGCACATTATTTACGTAGGGCAAGGCACTGGTGATGAGAATGTTCCTCTCTCCTTCGATTGGGAGACTGCGGAAGGCAGAAGCAGTACACGAAAATTAGTCATGTAACGTCATTGAAACTATTTCAGCTCGTTTTTCAAGCCTCAAAGATTTATTTTACTTCTGTTGTTAGTCCAACTTAAACCTACATAGGATCCACAAGCCGGCGAGTTTTCGGGCGGTTTTTGCTTCCACTATTCCAATGCTCAAAGGCCAAATCAATTTCTTCCCTTGAAAGAACTTTCGCAAGAATTCTCTGAAACAAAGAAAGTATTCTGTGAAATTCCCTTAGCATAATCCTTACGGTGAGAGGTACCATCTGACTAGATGAATTGCCCTTAAGCTAACAAAACTCTCTTGCTCTGGTTCCCAAGTGGGTTAGCTAACTTCATGTAATACCTGTTTTCATATGACGAGTCATTTAGCTCTCGGTGAGACTGGCTGATATGACCATGATCACCGCAACTTAAACTGAACTCATTGGAATGCTTACTAATGGACGGTTTTCATTGAATCAGAGATGGTCTGGCCAATGAATTCAACTTCAGACCTACCGTAAGTTTGACGAAAATTTTTCTTCTTTTAAATTCATTAAGTAGAACAATATATTCAGCATTTATTCCTTGTAACCCACGGAGTTATTTATTCTCTATCATTTATATATTTCTTGGATACATGTCATTCAAATTGGCAAATGCTCGTTAATTTTGAGGAGAGACAAGGAAACCTGGTGAGTGTATTTTTATTACAGAAATTCAATACTCCTTTTGGTTTCAGAAGCAGAAAATTGCCTATATAATATTTTTAGCAAAATATGAAAGTTGAATAGATTGACCAATGTTTGACACTAGTATTCTTTCACACCTCCTCTGTGGCAGAATCACGTTCTTGCTCTTGTTGAGATGATGGAGAACCTGTAAAAGCGGAATATTTCATCATCGTCATCATCTTTATTGTTATCATAATCATAATCATCGTTATTATTACTTCTATCATTGCTTACAACAATTTATATGCAAATCAAGTTCAGTTTTACATTGGTAAATACTATCAGAATGTAAAATAATTTATTTTACTGATCTGCAGAATTGTTCTAAGTTACCGTCACAAATGTGATGATATATTCTCTACATGCACCCGAATTACCCCTGGCCTGTTTTTCAAAACGAGGCCTGGTGCTCAATCATTCTTGTGAAAATGAGTTTAATTTGCATGTGAATGTAAACTTATTATCATATGAAAGGATGAGCACCACGACTAGTTTTGAAAATGAGGCCAAGGGTAATTCGGAAATGGGCTATTCAAATAACATGGAATGATCCAACATATTTTTGCGCCTGAAATCCATACGGATTTATTACTGTCTGTGCTAAACAAAAGCGTGCCCTGTGATCTGGCATTGCCGTTAGTTTTAATGCTATCAATTCAATTATTTCTAGTCTTCTCTCGGGCAGTAAATATTTCTTGTCTATTTTTTACCTTTTGTCGTCTCCTCATGAGCGTCAAGCATTGCCAACAAAGCATCCTACAACAACAACAACAAAAAACCCAAATCAGTATTTAGGAGTTTAAAACGTATATCAGGACGGGAGTATATACTTTTGAAAGGCACATTACCCTCTCACAAGGATCTGTATTCTGCATATCGCCATCAATTAATTGTAATGTAAAATTGATCTAAATCTATGCTATCTATAAGTGTTTCAAATTAGTACATTCAATACGTATCCGACCAGCCTCGCAGCAAGAAATAAATCTCAGTTCTCTATAATATATAAGATTAATAACACTGGCGTTATGATTTATTAAGATTTTTGGCTTAGATTTAGTCGTTTGACGGTTAATTCTGCGGTTAAAGTTGCAATGTTGGCGGTTATTTATTTATTTATTATTACTATTTTATTCCTATTTTTTCTTCATTCTTACTCTGTAATGTCATCTCATGCATTCTACAAGCGATGTAATATACCTCTATTACTTTTCCACTTGTTATGTTAATACTTCAAGGGCTACTTTTCAATTATTTTTCTTCATACCTTGTCCAAATTTGACAGGCTGTAATGTAAACCTATTCTCTCCTGTCGCTTCCCGCCTCGACTAGCCAATGCTATTTGCGGGAAGCGACCATTTTTGTATTTTTCTTTCGTCAAATAGTAAATAAAGTTGTAAGTTGCAAGTTATACCTTAAAGGCAGAAAATCCTTTTCCTCCTGCGACCTCAGATTCAGTTTTGATGAAAAGTTCCTGAGACATAAGCAGGTCGTGCCACCTTATTAAGTTTGAGATGCATGGATCTGTTTGTTAAAGAGACAAAATTTTCAAAGCATCCTGTTTTAATTTTCTACTCTACTGTCAGACAAAATCATAGACTGAGCAAAATATTTCTGGGCTTCCTGCTGCATTCATAGTAGATGCTCTGTGATATTTAGCCCTTCGTGACAAGTCTAAGTAAACTAAATACATTTCATGGTTGAGCCAATGCAGACTTTATAGGTGGAGCAAGCTCTGAAGACAAAGAAAGCACATGTTTGCCAATACCTGATAATTTCGGGTCCTCCATGAACAAAGGGTGCAAGGAACCCCAAAGGATGACGTCGGCTAGCCCCAGGTGATCCTAGAAAGTCAAGGAAATGGCGAATGGCTAATAGAGGCGCTCAAATTTAAATCAAAGGTGTCTAATTCCACACAGTTGTGATTCAAAAGTTAAAATCCAAAAGAAGGAAATAGTGTCAAGGGGTTTGATACAATTAACTAATAGAAAAAGTTAACAAAAATGTAAAGAAATTTTTTTTTTAAAATCATACCCCAGAAAAGTACTTCTTGGAAGTAAGACCTTCATCTGCATGTCTCAGGAGATTTACCACATCGTCAACAAGGCCACTGTGCTCTCTAGATCTCCCCTGGCCAATTGACCTTACAAGATGATTGAAGATTACAGGCTGCCAGATAAATTGGTAAATAGGTCAGCTAAAACCTCACAGATGTCAAGGTGATTGTGAACATAATTCCTTTTTACTGGGTGGGATCTTATGCTCAAGGCCGGGAGCTTAGTCACTGGATTCGCAGAACGGTACATAATACACTTGACCACGTTTTCTCTCACTTATGTACACTCTATGCAACAACTTACCTGCAGAGATGTGCTCTCCCACTCCACCCACTGATCAACAATTGCTTTCTCATAAGGTTCAGGAGCTACATCTGAGCTTCCACCGAGGTCAAGGAGGTACCTATACGAACAACATTAATGATCAGCATTAGAGTGTAACAGTGATGTACATTTAATTTGCATTCATTTGAATTAACAACAGGTACTACCCTTACTGTTGCTATTATTGTTTATTATTATTATTATTATTTATTATTTATTATTATTTATTATTTATTATTATTATTATTATTTAATTTGCATTCATTTGAATTAACAACAGGTACTACCCTTACTGTTGCTATTATTGAACTTGATCCACATGTGGAAATCAACTTCATGACATGGTATCATAAAACTTAGTTTAATCTTTTAAGGGATGGCCTTTAGATTCCAGATTAGATTAAAACCACGAAATAACCGGCCTCCTTCAGAATAAGCATTCAGCCAGACCCTTTATGCGGAAATTCTTTCGATTTACTGCAACATTTACGTAAACTGGAAATGTGGTTGAGTTTCCTTCATTAAACAGAGATGGCTGACTAAAATGTGTGAGAATAAACATAACTTGCCCGATTTTTAAATGCCAGCCAATTGTTGTATAACTTCTTTGGAATTGGGTAAACCAAGGGAAAATTCCCTCGATGGAAATACCAATTGAGACCCAAAATCATAGTATGTTAGCTTCCAGGTCTTACGTTTTGAATGTATCAGCCTAACATTCTTGATGAACCGGAAACGTGTGATCATCCTAAGAACTTTTTGATCACTTCTGTGTTTGTTTGATCATTTCTTCTTACCCCTCCTAAAACCGAATATTATAACTAAGGGAAGATAATAAAAATGAACAAAATGGTTGTCTTTAAACATACGATGGTACATATATACCTGCAAATGATGTTTGGGCTGTGCAATAACTTTCCACCGTCAGTCTCAAGCACTGGCAGCTAGTAAAGACAAAAATATATATTAATTTCAAAGGCACTGTTGATTCCTTTTTATTGGATCCAATGGTTGTACATAGTGCGGCTGAGTCGGGAATTAAATACTAGATGATTTACCGAAGCTTCTGTCTGGTTGTGCATAAAGTCAATCCTCTGATTGCAATTATTTCTTGAGATAAACGGTTTCAAAGTCAAAGAACTGGTAACTATTTTAATGTAATCCAAACATTTACCCAAGCCCCACAATTTATTTGGTCAGCTTAATGTATGGTAGACCCGATGCAGAATGCAGTTATCGAGTATATCATTGCTGAAAATCACCAAAATTGTTGGGGATGGGAAGAGTCTTTTACTGTGAGCGGTTTGCATTCAATGCAGCTTTTATTTTACAGCTTGGTAACTAATAACTCGAATAACTTAATTAAGTAATGAAATTATACAAACTACCCTGATTATCTACATATGTATACTATAAAATAATTATACAAACCTTGCTACTTCCTTGGGGAGTGAATTTTGCCCTATCTTATATAGAAAAACATTATGTCAATAATTTGTTCAAATTGTTCAAAGGAAATTTCATCTAAAAACAATGGGGGATAAAGGAAGTTAAAGGGGGAAAGTTAAAATAATATTTTCAATCATATCTCACGTCATTCTTGTCTGGCCATTACTTATATATATATATATATATAGATACAAGATATGATTATTTTCGTCACCGGCGCAACGTTCAGATTGCACAAAAACTGCGTAAAAACTTTAAAAATGTTTAAACTTAAATACAAATTCGCTGAAGATGTTTTGGTTTTACGTTCAATATCGAGCGGCTTATCAATTAAATCAAGTAGTGGCCGACTTGGCCCCGTGTACGTGTCTCCAATATGCAAATTAAGCTGAGGTCAAGCAAGACTGCTACATCATCTACTTTCTTAGAACTTTTGTTTTACACTTTGATTTGATACATCCCACTGGCATCCTCTGTGCGTTTGGTTAAGGAAGTGTTCTTCCCTTTTCAAATTGTGTGGAATGATATAATTTTTGATTTTTATGAAGCGGAGACAACACTCCATCACGATTGTAAAGTGGCATCAGAAGTTGTCGCCTCAATGCAAGCTATTTAAATAATAGGATACAGGTCGGAAACATGCGCAAAGAAGCTTGTTACTAATAACATGCGCAAGCGCACTTCACGACTAGCGTTACCTACTTAGACATGTCAACCAAAGTTCACATAAAAGTATTCTCCAGCTGTTTGCGAAATATCTCTCTAAAGATCCCTCAAGAAAGCGAATGCCATCGAAAAAGGAAGCTTTGAATGCAACTTTTTCGTACAAGCAACAGTGATTGCAATTGGTCAAGGAAAGTCGCCAAGATGAATGTATGAAACGTAAGTATTCGTACTCATCAAAAATGAAAGTGTATTTCCCAAGAGAAGCACCACTATTTTGACCTGTTTACGAAACGCACTACTTTTTCTCGCCGAATACCCTAAGGAATTCTGAGAAATAGTTGACTATAGATTGGGATTTACCTGCTGAGTAACTCCTATGCAATGTATCGATTTGAAATGCGCGATTTTGCAGTGTTGGCCTCAATATTTTCGAAATAAAAGTTGCTCTGCTTGAAAATGCCGAGTTAAACGGTGTCAATTATTTTCCATTTTCAGCTGTGGTTAACAAAATGATTGAAAATTAACGACGAGTGTTTCCTGAGTTGAAAAGCTCCAAAGACAGCTCCAGACGTAAAACTTTATATAGAAAGTTGACGTTATATTCGATATCCTGATGTTTCAGTATTTAATTCAAATTGTTTCTTCAAGATAACGTGGAATGGTAATGCTCACTTTCAAGTGAAATAAACCAAATTTGAAAATAATTTACAATGCAGATGTACGTTTCAAGAAACTTCTGGTATCAATTCGGAATCGCATTACGCTTATTGGTGGTTGTTTAATTTCCTCATAAATTTCAGCATGTATGTTGCATTTCCAAGAACTGGCGTTCCAAAACTGTTTTAGAAAAGGTTTGTGTTCCATCATCATTGTAAATCCTTTCCCCGCCGATACACTGTAATCCCCTATTCAGCTAAAATGCTCTTCTGAGTGTAATCTCAGTAAAAATGTGTTTACATGAACGTTTGTCGATGTGTATAAAAGTACCTCGAAAAAAATGAAAGCTATCGATTGCTGACCTTCATTAATAAAATGAAAATGAAAATTTTCTATTTTTAAATTTTTTGTTAGGGCTCGAGCCAAAATGCTTTTCAAAGCCGAAGTCAAGTGAATTTCTAAGAAGCTGTGAAAGATAAGCCAGTGACAGCTTGTCTTGTGAAAGTTTCATATCTTTCTTAACTGTAAGGGATTTTCATCAGTTTTTCCTGGAATCTGGCGACGCTTATTGTCACCTAAAGTGATCACTACACTGACCAAACAGTCTTTGATATGTGAGAACTGTATTTGATTCCAAACGAAACTACATTAAAAAAAAATGGCGATTAAAAACCAAAACTAAAAAACAACCACGACACGGTTTCGAGTAACGTCATTATCACATGATGTCAATCATAGGTACGTAAAGCGTACAAATTGAACTAAAACAATGTAGTTATAGTCGCGACACGGATAGAGCTTCGCACTGAAAGAAAATGGAATATAACTTTTACACTAAAAGTGCGTGCCATGAAAATTCCAATAGTGAAAAAGGTGTGTTCCACGAAACTTCAGCGGAAAGGAACCACTTTGAAAGGCAAGTTTTCGGGGAAACTTTCCGATAGGAAATTTTCTGAACCGAGTTATTAGGTCAAAATTAAAAAAAAAAAACTTTACTTAGAATAACTTTACTATGAAAAGACATTCAATATCGAGCGGTTTATCAATTAATTCAAGTATTGGCCGACTTGGCCCCATGTACGTGTCTGCTATATGCAAATTGAGCTAAGGTCAAGTAAGACTGCTACGTCATCTACTTTCTTAGAATTTATGTTTACTATATGATTTGATACCTCCGAAGGGCATCATCTATGCGTTTGGTTAGGAAAGTGTTTTTCCTTTTCAAAATTGCGTCGGATGATATCATTTTTAATCTGCTTGAAGCGGAGACAACACTCCATCCCGATTGTAATGTTGCATCAGAAGCTATCGCCTCATGACAATCTATTTAAATACTAGGATCATATTATTTCAGTGGCTCACCGCCAATTTAATTTTTTTTTTAAGCTGAGTCAACCTCTAAGCTTTGATTGCAGCTACAGAAAAATCACGTTTATACTAACTACAGAAGTTTAGGCTTAGCATTCCTGTATTTTCGTGAGAGAAATGTCATCGAGCCTGCATTAGGTACTGGGCAAGTTATGATTATAAATCCGCCATTCTTTTAAAGACCATCTTCTGATATTTTTTCATCGATCAATACAGTAATACAGAAGCTTTAAAAGCTTATTTTGGCAAGTTCCTTTAATCTATCCAAGATATAGAGGAAATTGATAGTTTTAAACGGAACAAGGTAGACTACATGACCAGTGGGAAGAATGCGCAAATAAGCTTGTTACTTATAACATGTGCACGTTACGACTAGCGTTACCTACTTAGAGATGTCAACCAAAGTTCACATAAAAGTATTCTCCAGCTGTTTGCGAAATATCTCTCTGATTATCCCTCAAGAAAGCGAGTGCCATTGAAAAAGGAAGCTTTGAATGCAACTTTTTCGTACAAGCAACAGTGATTGCAATTGGTCAAGGAAGTCACCAAGATGAATGTATAAAGCGTGAGTATTCGTACTTATCAAAATGAAAGTGTATTTCCTCAAGAGAAGCACCACCACCACTATTTTGACCTGTTTACGGAACGCACTACTTTTTCCCGCCGAATACCCTAAGGCATTTTGAGAAATAGTTGACTATCGGATTGGGATTTACCTGCTGAGTAACTCCTATGCAATGTATCGATTTGAAATGCGCAAGTTTGCATTGTTGGCCTCGATAATTTCGAAATAAAAGTTGCTCTGCTTGAAAATGCCGAGTTAAACGGTGTCAGTTATTTTCCATTTTCAGCTGTGGTTCACAAAATGATTGAAAATTAATGATGAGTGTTTCCTGACTGAGTTGAAAAGCTCCAACGACGACTCCAGACGTCAAACATTATAGAAAGTTGACGTTATGTTCGATACCATGATGTTCTAGTATTTAATTTAAATTGTTTCTTCTAGATAACGTGGAATGGTAATGTTCACTTTCAATTGAAATAAACCAAATTTGCAACACAACGCAGATGTACGTTTCAAGAAACTTCCGGTATTAATTAGGAATTCCATTGCGCTCATCGGTCGTTGCTTAATTTCAGCATGTATGTTGCATTTCCAAGAACTGGCGTTCCAAAACTGTATTAGAAAAGTTTGTGTTCCATCATCATGGTAAATCATTTCACCGCCGATATACTGTAATCACCTTTTCAGCGAAAATGCTCTTCTGAGTGTAATCTCAGAAAAAATGTGTTTATATGAATGTTTGTCGATGAGTATAAAGTATCGATTGCTGACTTTCAGTAATAAAATGAAAATTCTCTAGTGTAAATTTTTTGTTACGGCTCGAGCCAAAATGCTTTTCAAAGCCGAAGTCAAGTGAATTTCTAAGAAGCTGTGAAAGATAAGCCAGTGACAGCTTGTCTCATACAAATTTCAGATCGTTTTTAACATAAAAGGGATTTCATCGGCTTTTCCTGGAATTTAGCGACGCTTATAGAGCTTCACAATGAAAGAAAATGGAATATAACTTTCACACTAAGAGTGCGTGCCATGAAAATTCCAAAAGTGAAAAAGGCGTCATCCACGAAACTTGAGCTGAAAGGGAACACTTTGAAAGGCAAGTTTCCAGGAAAAATTTCCGATGGGAATTTTTCTGAACTGAGTTATAAGGCCAGAAATTAAAAAAAGAATAACTTTACTACTGAAGAAAACCCATTCCCGAACAAGAAAGTCAATGATATCCATTTTAGCCGTCTCAGAGTTATTCACATCATCATTTCCGTACATAGGATTCACGGAAGCTCTTGGAAATTCGCCACCGTTTTGATTTCACTTTCGTGATTTAAAAAGGATGAAAAATACTTCTACCTCCATAACTGGTATACTGCACAGTCAGCGGAACTCTTCTCAAATTTTTTGCAGCCAAAATGCGAAGCAGGAATGGATTCCCTCTGTCAATGTAGAGCTTCATGATTTTACTGATTTGAGAGTGTGCGACAGAGCGCAGACCTTTCAAATAACTCGGAGATAAGCGATAGAACCTATCCCACAGAGGCCAAGAGACATTTGGTGAAACAAGTTTTAGTCTGGGAATAAAACAGGAGTTTAGTGCCGAGAGAGACTGGAACTGGATTCCCCAACCGCAACCCAGTCAATGTTGCTTCGGAACAAATAACCTGTTTTTCAGCTCAATATTTCCCTAAAACCCTTTCAGGTGTGTTTTTCATATTAATCAAGTGTATGATTTCAACCTTGATTTTAGGAACTTGCAGACTCCATTCGCCATCGCCAAAAACCTTTTTTTCGCAATTAATATCTATCATTGTGACCGTGGACTCTGCGAAGAAAACCTTGAAAGTATCAAGTCGAAAAAGCATTTAACAAAACTGAGCTCCAAGCATTTTATTTACGATGATTCAGGTGTACGGAGTATCTTGAAAACTCTGTCGCTGTTTTCCGTACCTGCTACGTATAATGGAATAGTGTTTAAAGCGAAATATGAACTGTAGGTCGTTAGAATTTCTAACATCACGTTATATTCGACTCGTTTCTTTATTTCCCATTCTTTGGGGACTTTTTCAATAAGTGTTTCACTGTTTCATCCTGGTAGCTCTGCAATACTCAGTACATTTAAGTAAATTTGTGGTTTCAGCTTAAGCAGACAGAACGCTGGGTTTCCAAGAGTCGAGAGCTTAGAATCAAAAAATTTCTAGGAAATTATGGTCAAATCGTGAAATTCTTGATTCTTGGTATTTGTATAGCACACACTTCTAAAGCTAAGTCATAATAATCTATATTTAGCCAATCCCAAACAAAGAACTAAATCGACTAATCACGAGGTTTCTCGGAAATCTTGAACATCTGCACTTTACTGCGTCAGACTCTTGCATCATCCCTTCCCGGGAAGAGGGGGGATGGGAAGGGAGAGATGTTATGCATCAGGAAAACCAAGATCAAGTTGAGGAAGAAATTCAGGTCTACCTAAATAATTTCCTTTAGAAATCTTCTACAACGAAATACAAAATCTAACTGGCTTTTGTCTTAGATTCCAGTAGACCTGAATCGTCAAATCGTTGTTATTATTTGTACGTGAGGCATTCACAAAGGTCCCAGTTTCATTTTTAGACTAGCAGAAAGAAAATAGCTGGTACCTCCATTTGTGATGTACTGTATCGTCATTGAGACATCTGCCAGTTTTTTTGCTGCCAAAATACGAAGCAGGGATGGATTCCCTCGGTTGCTGTAGAGTTTCATAACTTCACTGATTAGAGATGACGCTAGTTTGCGATAGTTTAGACGTGCTGTGAATTTCACAGTTCGAAGAAAAACGACAGAACTGACTCGACCAAAAACTGGAGACATCTGGTGAAACCAGTTTTTCGTGAATTAAATAAACCGGATTGAAGAGTTGGTGAAGACTGGATCGAGCTTTTAGGACAGCAAAGCATGATAGACAGCATTTCAAAAACTGCAGAGTACATAAAAAAGAAAAGGGCAAACTCAAAAAGGACCTTTCAAGACCTTGATGGTGACTTCTAAAATAGTTTCATGCCTATTTTCTGTTCCTCCTCATTTTAAGCTTAAATCCATGATGTAAAATGGCTTCATGGTTTGCGCCAATATAGTTCGATGAAAGAACACATAAAATTAGATTTATGATATTGAATGATCCTCATATCAGAACTTAATTGTTTCTCCATGCTTGGAACTCAGTTTTAGAAAATAGGCACTGAGCGCCATTGACTGTGTTTTAATGTTAACTGGGAATAGATCTCAACAATTCTCCATATTATTTAGGGTGTGCGAGCTGATTTCGTCCTAACCCCGTCCAGTTTCTTCCCAGATATAGCCTTCATATTAAAGATGTGCTTAGTATCTTCTCTTTTGGAAAACATGCTAGTATTAGTTGTTTTCTATCTCAACCTCCTTGATACTTTTTTAAGATATGCAGGGGAATACAAACTTTGCTTTACTCGAATTACAGTAACTCGGTATAAGATGTGGGGTATTATGTACTTTGAGTATCTTCTGCGATAGTACTACGGAACAAAGAGAGCAGTTCTTAGCCTCGTTCTTGAAATACATCAAACTTTTTCTTAAATGTTTTAATTTTTTAAAATTCATTCAAGAGTCACTTGCAGTTGGTTGTGATGAGCTATGGGTTTCGACTTTTTGAAAAATAGCCCTCCCATACCTACTCGGTTTTCGTCACCCTTCACCAAAATTGATATGAATAAATGGAGAAAGGAATACATGTGAACTGCACGCCCATAAAAGAAAACTGTTCAAAAGATGACATAATCACCCATCAATAAACCATGAGATAACTATTTTCTGAACTCGTCAAGAAAGTGTTTATTTCATTTCCTATTATGCAAATTATTAAGTGAAAAAAGTACTTTATGATGTTTGAAAGGAGCATCGATAGTAACTATATGGTTTACATGGCTTCAATCTCGTATGCTCCGGGGCTCTTTCTTGTCCTGCACTGTCATTAAATTGGGTTGCTATTGTATTACTCAGTTGAGTCATTCTTATTTGCTTTATAGTGACCACTCTCATCTAGCGTTTCTTGGTCTGTAAGTTCAGTCAAAAATCAGCTTCTTGGGTACTTCCCAGGTAAAACCAGGTTTGAAATGACCGTACACGCACGCCTCCTGGTATATGGGCTTCTTTAAGTCAAGGTCCCTGTAGAACAACAAAGACAGACCAAAGGAATAAGATTTCAAACAGATAAATGCCAATGGTCCAAAAGCAAAAGTTTATACAAACCTTCAAGAGCTGGTAAAACATGGAAATAGCAGCAAGCATACATGAAAACAACTTGTCAAATGGCTAAAAAAAATCTATCCATCACAGTATAAAAGTTTTTTATTTCTTTCGCACCTGACTATCACGCCCGGGCGAAGATCAAAGTTTTTCTTGATAATTTCCAAAAGCTCCTCATCAGACTTAATGCTTGTTCCGTAAGAGAACACAGTAATTGAAAGAGGTCTGGCAATACCGATGGCATACGAGATTTGGATCAAGACACGGCGGCACAACTTGGCTGCCACGAGAGACTTAGCAATCCACCTAGCAGCATAACAACCAGATCGGTCCACCTAATAGATAACAAAGAAACTGATTAGTGTGCTGCTCTCATTCGGGTAAATGGCTTTGGATTTTCAGTCAAGCTGTGAACTAAGTCCAAACCTTTACATTGATATGTTTTGATGATTATGAACGAATTTTTGCACAGAATGAGAAAGGTAATTGAATATCGTCAAGAGTGTTCTAAGTACAATAAAATGCAAACTACAGTACTCAAAGCGCAATACAGCTCTTGAAGGCAGTGACTGAACAGTTCAAAAGGGAAAGGATATCATAGAAAACAACCTTAGAGAAGTCCTTCCCAGAGAAGGCACCTCCTCCATGTGCTCCCCATCCACCATAAGTGTCGACAATAATCTTCCTTCCTGTCAAACCTGCGTCACCTTGGGGGCCTCCGATCACAAATGCACCAGACGGTTGGAGATGGTAGACTGTTTTATCATCAAGATATTTGGCAGGGACGACTTCCTGCAAGAATTGTATTAGTAAAAAGAGTAAAATGCACTTTGAAAGGTTCACCCACACTATATCTGTACAACCAAATGCTACTGGTTCCTGATAAAGTTATATTTATCGACAGGCTTCAAATTTAGCGCTGAAGATAACTGTGTTCGATATCTCAAAAATAACAATTTTCTCAGTCTGTTGAAATGTATTCTTTCCACTGAGCTCTGCTACACATGGAAAGAAATTTTTATTCAAACTTAAATGTTTCTCTTTGAACTGGCTTTCATTCAGTTTGAAAAGGTACGTGTCCATCGCACTTTGTTAGCAATGAATTGATTTAAAATCTAGCTTGAAAGGAGCTTAGAAATTAAATGCAAATTGCTTTGTATAAATTCAGAGAAGTATACTAAGAAGTAGGAAAATCATAGTACGTTGATAATTTTCTCCTTCAATTGCCTCCTCATTTCTTGTAACTCGATGTCAGGGTTGTGCTGAACAGAAATCACGATGGTGTGGACTCGAAGAGGTTTGATTTCACCATCACCCAATTTTCCTTCATACTCGATGGTAACTTGTGTTTTGGAATCAGGTCGCAGCCAGCGCATAGATCCATCTCGTCTCTTTTCAGCAAGCTTCTTGTTTAGATTGTGGGCTAAAACAACTGTTAGGGGCATGAGTTCTTCCGTCTCATCAGTGGCATAGCCAAACATGAGACCCTGATCACCGGCGCCGATATCTTCTTCTTTTCTATCTTTGTGGACACCGCCCGCAATGTCAGAGCTTTGCTGTTGGAGGGCAATCAAGACACTGCAGGTTTTGTGGTCGAATCCTGAAAAAGTCAATTGGTGTTAAAACTCGATGTCAGTTAATAAGGGGATGCTCGTCTATGATCTTTGATCAACAGTAAAAAGAGGTTAGTGAATAGCTTTGAGAAAAATTTCTACCTTTATCAGAGGAATCGTATCCAATCTTTTTTATTGTGTCACGGATCACATTCTGATAATCCACAACGGCCGTTGATGTAATTTCACCGCAAACAAGAACCATGCCTGTTTTAGTTGCAGTTTCTGTTCGAAAGAAAACATTTAAAATCATTGCCTGTCCATCACACGAACTTCAATCATCAATAATGACCACGCAGAGATCTAAGGTTACTCAGTATCAAAGATCACACCATGAAGACGTGATGTGATGAGTCTTTGCGTCTATTGAAATCCCAAAGGCATATATTTCCTCCGGCTAAACAGGTTTGACTGGAAATAATCTTTCCAGCACGTGATTAGAGGGGTGCGAAAGATTTCTTTATGCAAAAAGTTGTTTCCTTCAGCTTCCGAATTCATCTTGGCCCTTCATCTTGTTCGATATCATATCGCCATCCAACAAAGATAAAGCTTCGAGATCCTCGCTTGTCTAGGTTCACACTTGCTCATTTAGCTAACGTACACCAAGAAAGATTTATCAAAATAGACAGCTATTACAAAATCGAAAATAAATGTTAAGTCCATTGACATTGGTTTTCGCTGAGAAATATTGAAATGCGAAGAGTTTTAGATAACTTCCAAACTAGAGATGTTTTTTTGTTTCATCTCACATCACCAGATTCTTGGAATTAACTCTATTTAAAATATCCAGACCTATTCAGTGAAAGTACAAATTGCTGCGGTAGCGTTTTCGAAGAGTAAATGTGTGGTGCTGGGAAGTAGAACCAAAGGAAAGAGATTCAAACTATGACATCTTAAGAACCATTAATTCGACGTTCTAAGATGGATCGCTCCATCGCAACCTCAGGACTGAATTAGCCACTACTCGGTGGTGCACTTTTAAAACGTGCTTGGATGTTCAAATTTTCTTTTCCCAAAAACGCTGGTCATTAAACAATCTATTTCTTAATCTTACCACACGCGACTTTAGCATTGGGATCAACTTTGAGATGAGCATCGAGAATAGCATCTGAGACCTGATCGCAGAGTTTATCTACGGAGACAAAGTACACTTTCGTTTTAGGTCGAAAACTTCAACTTCCGTCACCGTTCAGCTTAGCATTTTTGCGATCGAAATTCAAACGATGAGTTGAAAAGGTGCAACTTACCAGGATGCCCTTCGCCAACCGACTCAGAGCTAAAGAGGAAAGTACTCTTTGCGTTTGTTTTTGGGTTCGACATGATTGCAAATATAATCTTTACGAAGTAGGTCCTAGTATGTAGTAGAAGGTGTGACTAAAAGCTAGTTTTCCGTGGTTTTATATATTTGTAGGCTTGCTAATTGGCATGTGCTGCTGACGCGTGTACTGTATGAAGCTTTATGATTGGTTGAGATGTCTCAGCATTTTAATTATTCAAAATTCCAGGAAATATTTCGCAATAGCTTTCAAATTTTTTGAGGATGTATTGACTATCTAAAAATTACCGAAGTATCTAATTTCAAAATTGTTATTGCGCTGGGATCATCATTGGTATCAAAAGCAATACATCTTTCAAATTTACAAATAAAGATTTGGGGGCTCTGTGAGATAGTAGAAGTGAGTAGCAAGTAAAGTAATTTAACAAGCGCAAGTAACACTGAGTAGCTAATGCTAATTTTTTTTTAGCTTTTTCAAAGTAGACAAAGGGTGATCTTCCTGTTTTTCTAAGATATTAACTCGATGTGATGGTTCTACATTTTCGGAGAAAGGTCTTTGAGCCAGCACTTGGACTCCAGCCATATGTGGTTATTTCAATAACCATAAAGAATTAAAATTCTTGGAATCACAGGATGTCAACAACAATCCGCAGTTTCAATACAGGGTAAAAAATTTTAAATGAAACAAATAACTGCCTCTAAATATTTTCGACGACATTTTGAAGAAAATATATGGGAGTATGTCTAGTTTCCGGCCTAAACCGATCCTGCGCCTATTACTTTAATTTCTTCGGCCTTATTACAGTGACGCACTACGCTACAAATCATTTCTTGTTTCACTGGATGAAATTATGCATTTGACTGTATCTGGCTAGAAGACAAATATACAGCGTATGCAAGTATGGCGTCCAGTTTGAATTGCCATTGTTCTGGACTCACTAGCCTCGTCTTCACGTGGAAAACAGAAAAGGATTATTACATGTGTGAGAGGCTAGTGAGTCCAAAACACACGACACACAACACCATATTTGCACTCAGACAAATATAGGGTAAAACTGAATAACTTTGAAGCAGAAATCAGTGGGGTCCAAATCACTATATATCTTTCTCCTCATTGATTATTGGGTGTTTTTTCAGGTAAAGTCTGAATTTGAGGTTTTAGAGCCAAACTGTTATTCACTTTCAACAGAGAAATAAAGTAAAAGAAGGAAGAAGTTAATAAATAAACAAATAAATAACAGCAAGGAATCAACTTTCAGTTAACCATTAACTTTATTCTTTAAAATTTTTAAGTCATAAACAGTGGAATAATTCTGTACATTACTCTTTATACTGAAAGTAAGTAAAAAAAAGGTTCAAGTGAATATTCCTGCCAATGTCACCCTAATTTCATTACATTCCAGCAGCTTGTAGCTGGCAAAACAAGAAAATAATCCATGATTACATAATGAAATACTTGTCTCAGAATTGTCTCATGAAATATTTGGAGGATATTGCCATTAATTTGAATAGTAATTTTAAAATAACAGAAAATACTGTAATGCAAATGTTTTTTTCCAAAGAAAAGCCCTATTTCTCAAGAAATATGTACGTTGCTTCCCACATTGTGCTGCATCTAGTGATGACCAATCAATGAAACTGATAATCGATACTAACTGATGGCAGTTAATTGATTAATATCAGAAAGCGACGACAAATTGACAATGAAAAAACCTGTATTTTATCACCAGCAGTAGTAGCTGACAATATTTAAGTATGATTATATACGATCTATACTTGTACTGCAAAAAATTGATGTAATCAAGCAATTTGATTTGCGTTTTTTGTATACTCCTGCAGTGTTGTCTTTCATCATGTTACAATTAACAAACAAATCGTGTGGTTCCAGAAAATACCCATCATTCACCAAAAGGATAGTCATTGGAAATTACGAGAGGGAGGGGGTCTCGAATGCCAAAATTCTTAAGGGAACGTATGAAGCAAAACTGAAAATTCAAGAGGGGTGGGAAGGTCTGAACAGAAGAACCATCCTTTGGGGAGGTATGGGTATTTTCCGAAACCACGCATGCATATTTTAAGAAACATTTTCAGCAATCATGGTTCTTACAGCTAAACTCAGAAAACTGTGAATACCTGAAATATTTCTGAAATTGTTGATTGTTTTGTGACCAGTCACAAGAAAGTTCAGTGACATGTAAGCAAAACTCAAACCAAAAACTAATTACTGTTCTGTTTGTGGTTTTGTTTCCTTGTTTATGATGTTGCAACACATGTACAGTAACATTGCATTTCTGGAGTTCAAGGTTTTCTGAGTTTCATGGTAAAATACAGTAGTTGTCAGTAGTAACACACTAAAAACTCAATTCTAATTACAAATAATTTTTTTCTTTTAAGTGGTAATACAAAGAGAACATTTTCTCTCTTCCATGTTCTCACAGTTCCAACAAAATTACATTGAATCCTTTGAACAAGAAGGTACGATGCAGGTCCTAGTGGTTCAAAAATGTCCTTACACCAAATTTCTGCGGTTCCACTCTGGCGCTTGCGTCTGTCTGGGTGCTTCTGAAACCATGAGACATAGGCCATGACTAGGGTTTTCCACTGACCATGGATGCAAATATTCTGTGTCGTGTAGTACCGGACAACTGCAGGCCTTGCATCGATCTGATGTGTCAGTATCTATTTGGCCACCAACTCCAACCCAAGCTGCAATGAGTCGAGGGAGCCATACCGCTCACTGCAGAATTCCAAGCTGGCATAACGGTCAAAAATGACAGTTCCATTTCTGAATTCCACTCCTTCTAGAAATGTTGAATACGATTCTATTAGAAAGTTAAGTTCATCATCATCCAGGTAATGTACTCTGTGAGGAGAGATACAAGTACATGATTCATCATCCAACCAGATATTTGATTTGGTAACAGGACCATCTGATAGAGATAAGAGATCTACAGTGGAACTAATGTGCTGAAGAGGAATTCCATGCTTGTGTTCTTCATATGGCTGAATACAGGATGAAAGTGTTTACATGATGCACTTGGAAATGGAAGGTCCCTGATGTCTTGATCTCGAAGAAACTTACGCATTAGCGAAATTTCTACGGCTCTTTGGTTCGTCTTGAAGTCACTAAGAGGACCATTGAACCTCTCAAAGGAAAACAGCCAAAAGTTGTGCGCTGGTCCATAGTCTAATACACAGTTGATAAGATGTGAATGTAAATGCATGTTTGGTGTGACTTCCAACTGTCCATACATTGACTCAAACTTCTTACAGAACTGCATCATTTAAATGTATTTTCCTTTCTCCTTGGACATGGTAATGTATGACAACGAGTTTGAAACAAAGGAAAATAGAATTAAAATAAAGGATAAAACTGAACCACAACATATATATTATGTAATTACTTGTATAACAAATCGACCCCATTTTTTTATGGTCTACACTTTTAAAGACCATAAAATGATGTCATTAAATTATCAAAACTCAGGTGGAACCAAAAGACAATCTATCAAGGCTGTGCTCTAAGAAAAATCACAAGGAGTCCAAAGGTTCCAAACTATGAAATCCAGCTAGGGTAACCAGCATTAAAGCTTATATGAAAATAGTAATTTAATCTGGTTACCCAAAGGCAAATGTTAGACACCCAGGCACCTTAAGAGGGCAGCCCTGTTTATGGCATTATTTCATGGTCTTGGAGTGTATACCATGAAAAAATGTACACAATTTGTTTTAAATCACAACAATAAGTGAATTCTTGGGTTAATGTACACATGCAATGTATGCACCAATTTGTGGCATAACCCTTTTTTCCTCCTCAAGCTGTCAAATGTGTAGAACGTTTTGCCCCAATCATTTTGTTGACATTTTACAACATTCCAGAATTTTGTGTTTTGAAAAAGTGTAAATAATTTCTCAAGCTTTCAGAAGTTTTGTGTCACACTTAATGTCATATCGCGCTCTACACTTTCATCAATTAAAGCTCTCAACCAAAGTGCATGTGAGAAATCTCTCAGCTATGGTATAAATAATTCCATAATTATATTAATTTTTCATTGACCAGATACATGACTGTACATGTATGTTCTGTCGTTTTAATTCCAGACCACTGACATTATTTGTTGTTCCTTAATTATAGAAACTCAAGGCACGCAAAGAAGCCCTCATGCATAGCTCTTATACAGCAGAGAAAAAGAGAAAAATTCAGGAGATCCTCACCATAGATGACAAGACACCAGAAGAAGGTGTGTATGAAGCAGACAACTCAGATGAAGAATCAATCCCAAAACTTGAAAAGCTAGTGCGACGCAAGTTTGAGTGGAGATCAGATGAGTTAGATTGTGAGTTCCAGAGCCTGGACCATAAGGCAGACAGAGCCAGGAGTCAGCGAGCACAAAGGATGATGGTACCGAGGGAGGAGGGTGACATAATTCCTGAAACCCTTAATTGTTATCCAAAGAGAGCCACAGCTTGGGCCCTTGCTGGAGTATTTCAGAGATTGACATAATTTAAAAAGCAATGAATAAAATTTTTTATCACTTGACCAACAATTATTTTGTTTTGACCAGGTGAGTTGTCACTTGCATCAGTTTCAAAACTTTTTACTAGTGTTAACAACACCATAAGGAAAATAATTAGCTACTGTGGTTTTGTTTGTACAAAAAAGAAGAAATGTTAAATGAATTTCCATTTACTATACATTTAAGTGTGTTGAATTTAGTCAGGACTGTGGGTGTGAGATGATTGGACATGAGAGGATTGCATTAATCAAAGTAAATGCGATTCCATTTTAAACTACCACTGAAACAATGAAATTTCTGATATTTTATTAAATGCAGTGTATTATTGGGTACTTGCAGCCCTAATACTGAAATAACTTGTGGAAAAAGCAATTTTGTGCAAATTCACAACAGGATCAATGGAGGGGAAGATAATTTTGGATTATTCCATGAGAAAGATGATGTTTGCTCTACATTTGTCCTGAATTTGTTCTTACAAATGTTATCTTTAACGCATTTGTCCTTGTTTAGAGAGGGAAAAATAATGATATTTAACTCAGATTTACACCGCATTTGTCCATATTTACACCCAAAATCAAATGCACAATTATCCTATTTATCTTTAGGACAAATGTCAGATTTGTCTTCAAGTCAAATACTGACAAATATGACAAACATTACATTTGAACAACATTTGGACTGCATTTGTCTGACGTCAAATCTGTTTTTTCGCCCAGAGAATTTGTTAGTTTAGCAGGCTTCTTTGGGTAGCACTAGATTTCACTGATATGAGGATAATTTTAATCGCTTGGGGAGCAGCTTTAGAGCATTCTGTGAGATGATCGACTAAATGTGATGGCAATTTGCGAATTTTTACCTTTTTGGATATGTTCCAAAGTTTGTTGTTATTTGATTTGAAGTTGAAGTTTACGCTGCGATCCAACATTAAAATTGTTACCAAGACTTTCTCCAGTCACTAGATTTCAGTGTCATAAATCTGTTTATCAAATATTTCGAGTTCAGATCCACAACCAAATTTAAACTGTTTAATCGTTCGATTCACATTCCAACATAACTAAGCGAGAATCATACAGAATGTGTAAAAAACAAAGCCTAGCTAGCTTGCGAGAGCATGTGCTCCGAATCACGTGACTATGAACTGTCAATCATTTCTTACACTCCCTGCACCTGTTCAAACTTAGTGATACAGATGTACTTGTGAAATGACAATACAAATACAGCATATGAAGCTCGCAAATTAATAAGTTCTTGAAGACCACTTGTAGTCTCAGTTCCGTTGCAACATTCCACTAGTTCGAGAAAATAGAAACACAAAAGGTTCAGCAATTTCAAACGGTTAAGGTTCTTATGGTCTCAGTCTCCGTAGAAATTCTCCATCCATCGCCGCCTTCCTTCAAGGTTCTTATGGTCTCAGTCTCCGCATAAATTCTCCATCATTCGCCGCCTTCCTTCGAGGTCTGCTGTCAACAGTTACTGTTCCTTGCTCAGGTTGAACTGGACTCTCGAACTGTGGCAATGAGTTGACGTTGGCCTTCACTTCGATGGGAATCAAAATGCTTGACACTCCTGTTGAGTAAGTTTCCAGTGTCTGCTACCCGTACAACTACCGCTCTGACCTGGCCGTCACTTCCTGCTAGCAATTCTTTCACGATCGCTAATTTCCACTATACTCTCTTGGTCGAATCATTCTGAAGCAGTACTACGTCACCAACAGCAATTTCTGGGAGATGAAAAAACGCGGAGCACTACTACATGGAGTACCCGATGGAGTACCTTAATGGAGTACCCCTAAAAGTCATGTATTGGTCAAATAAAATATTATATGAACATGGTGAATAATTTAGATGTAAATATCCTAAAATATATTGAGCTTACCAGCTCTTCGAATGCCACAGTTCGATACAATCCAGTTTTTTGGTGGACAGTTGACTAGTGCTCTCAGTCTTACTGGTTCCTTTATTTTGGTTTTACCGCTGGGTAATGAGTCCTTTGATGAGAAGACAAACAACTCCACGTGATGAACAAAACCCACAGTTTCCATTTTTGCACGAGGTAAAATATTTAAGCTTACTGCATTTCCCAGATCAACAACCCCAGTCGGATTTGTTTGCCGACCCGTCACTGTTTTTTTTTTTGTTTGTTTACATACCTCAATTTTATTGCGCTACAGATAGATGGGTGAGGAGAAGCTCAGTTTAAAGATAAGGATTACATTTTTAAGTCTCAACCTACAAATGTTAGCTTGTATCCTCATCGTTTCGCACAATTAAGAAACCCATGAGGCCATGTGTTACTAGATGGAGCGCCACACTTCTTACAGACTCCGGCCTATTAACGGTAACGTTCATGGATGCTAGCAACATTAAAGCTTTCCGTTGGAAGTGGTCAGCAGTTTAATATTAATTTCAAAATGGCGGTGAATTCGTGTACTAAATCAAACTGCGACAATCGGAGAGCTGACAAGCTCAAAATTTATCAGGATATGTACATCTAAACGATTCACAATGTTCATAAAGTATTTTATTTGACTAATACATGATTTTGAGGGGTACTCTATCCAGGTACTCCATAGGGTACTCCATGGAGTAGGGCTCCGCGTTTTGTCTTCTCCCGCAATTTCTGGATTCTCTCCCCTTCTCCTCGAATTCGTAGTGTGCGTTTCGCGTAAGTTGACCAAATACTCTTTTCTCCAAGCAGATGTAAACTGATTCAGTAGGTGTTTCTGGTGCTGCGATCGTCGCGTCAGCGTATCGTGGGTGCTAACAATCTCAAAGTGGCTTGAACTGGGAGTGTTCTGCAAGCGTCAACCATTGATCAAGTGTGAAGGAGTTAGCGCAAAATTCACCCCGTTCAAGTCATCGTAAACGTATGCTGGAGGTCTAGCATTAACAACACATTCCACTTCCGTCAGTGGGGTACCGAGCTCTTAAAAACTCAGACAACTCTGTCCGATTACTTTCCTGAGCGGTCTTTTTACGGTTTGAATTAAGCGTTCCCAGAATCCTCCCCACTAAGGAGCCTTGTCAACAATAAATTTCCACTTTACACCGTTGTTTGCCAAATGATGTAAAACCTCTTGGGCTCTTGCTCTCCTTACCACCTCCCCTGAAGCAAACTTTAACGTCTTAGCATTGTCCAATAGTAATGTGGCTGGCAAACCTCTTCTACTAGTGAATCGGCGGAAGGCTAATAGAAAGGCTTCGGCACTCAGTCTTCTTGTTAGCTCCAAGTATACAGCTCTAGTGGAGGCGCACGTAACCAGGCAAACATACGCCCCAGCTTCATCTGTATTTGTTCCACCTTTATCTGTCGTGTATACAGGACCTGCAAAGTCCACGCCTGTGTGTGTGAAAGGTGGACATTCAGAAACTCGCTCTTCGGGTAAATCGGGTGTCTGTGGTAGTAGGAATGGCTGTCCCCGCCCCTTTCGGCACGTCACACGTCTTCTTAGGCACCTTTTTAACCGCTCGTCTTCCTTGCAATATCCAAAACCGCTCTCTCGCAGACGTCAACGTCGTGTTTACTCCGCCGTGCAGCATCCGCTGGTGATTGTCACCGACAATCAAGTCCACTGAGTGATCCTTCGAGGATAACAACATTGGAGTTTTGGTTTCTTGATTGAGTGAACTGTTCTGAATTCTACCCTTGCATTGCACGATACTTCTCTCATCTATGTAGAGGTTAAATAGTCCCTTTTACAGTTGTGGGCTTGGTGGCCAAGCCTTTGAACAGGAGTGAGGCTAAGGGTGACCCTGTTGTGATAGAGACCTGTATCTAGTTAGCATGATAACAAAGTAATTTGCATTTGGAAAGCAGCAACATCTCTAACAAGGTCACCTCAAGCCTCACTCCTGTTCAAAGGCCTGGCCACCAAGCCCGCAACTGTAAGAAGGACTATTGTCGCACAAGAATTGGAGCGGGAGTTTTTCCGGTGGACATTCTGGGAATGATTGGTTCTGTATGGACTTAATCCACAGTTCTTCAGCAGCTCGTATTTCTTCGGCGTTGAATTCGAGACCCGTCTTCTCCTTTGATCTCCTCGTAAATCGAAGGACGTAAGCAGTGACCCGCAACAATTTTGTCAAGCTACTGTAGCGGTTAGCATCAGTGATTTGATGTAAGCCAGTCTGCCGCACTTGCTCACCGCTGACCAAAGCATGTGTAATAGTTACAGGATTCTTCGCGATTTCTCTCATGGAAAGTTCATTATCGGAGTGGGCGTTGTCCTCACGAGATCATTCTTTTTCAACGTTCTGGAAAAATTCTGAACCCTTCCATCATTTGACCTCGGTAACCATTTCGCTCGCTATCAATCCACGCGAAGGGATATCGGCTGGGTTCTGTTCGCTGGGACAGGACGTCCAAGACGTTGGAGTGGTGCTCTCACGGATCTCTTGCATCCTGATCATGACATACTGTTTCCATGGCCTTGCGATAAGAGCTGGAGCAGACGGTGTTTTCATCTGATTGTATGTTGAGTTGAGCGTAGATGCATCAGAATACTCATTGATCCGATAGTAACTTCGACTGCAATTGGTTCTAATGTCTTGTAATTCTTCTTAATAACAATTATTTTGCTGGTCAGTGACTTTGATATTAGAGGTACTACTCCTCCTCCTCCTCCTTTCTCTCGATCGTTGCGAAATAAAGAATAGCCTGGGATGGTAAATTGGTTGTTTGTGAACGATGAGTCAATCTTGGTTTCACTCACAAACATAGCGTGTATGTTTAGTCTTTGGATGATTTCAGATAGCGTCTCGAATTTATTTTGAAGACTGTTGATGTTTAGGTGGAAGAGGAGAACGTCTTTCCTGGAGAACTTTCTTAGTGTCTCGAGATATGTGTTATCGTAGTTATCGGGGTCAAGCGTGTATATGTTATCGTAGTTCTCAGAACCTAGCGTGTCTGGAACGTCCTTTGATGTATCACGGTTTGAAAAATTGTCCTGATCTGGTACATCAGATAGTTGACAGTTATCGGGAAACAGCAATTGCGACCATAAGCATGTACCACAAAGCCATGTCTTGGTAGCTTGTACCTTGATTCGGTCGTACTCGCGGTGTTTTATCTTGCCACATTTTATGTGTAGCCTTAAATGGCACTCGTTACATTCTACTGCGCGATGATTTCTAGCGATCGTCTTGTCGCAGACAGCACAACTAGGAGGAGGTCCGGGATTTGTGGAAACATCGCCACTAAGTAAGATCTTTGTTATTGGGAAAGTAGATCTCGACATCGAAGAGTAACTTGCTCTCGACCCGAAAAAGCCTTGTCTGGATATACGAATGAAACCAACATGGGGGTCGAAGTAGTTGAGCGCCGGTGTACTGTGGCAGCAGTATATCAGCTAATTTACTCGTTGATGTTCCCAAGCTACTTTCAAATGTCACTTTGCCTGACAGCTTTTCTAAGTTAGGGGATAAATCCATTCGAAGAAGCAACTGAGGCAATAAAAATAAAACGATTGAGGAGCGTATACTAGCACCGCCGACCGCCATGACAGGCATTGCACACTTTATACTGACACCGAGGGACTAAAAACTTTGCACGTTTACGCTAATCTTGTCATACACAAATCGGAGCTGTGAAGCCTTGTCGCTAGTACACCCAGGAATATTTAGCAACTCATCCATGTGTGTTGAAATTATGTTCTGGGGCCTTCCGAAACGATTCTGCAAAATTTCAAGAGCCGATTGATAATTCGCGTCCGTTCGAATCAATCCTTGTCTAGCGCAGGCTCCTTGTCCTTCCAGCAACGAGTTCAAATGGTTACATTTATCGATCGGGCTTAGATGAGGATTTTTGTGAATGGAGCTGTTAAAGCCATCCCAGAAAGTCTTCCATTGAGTAATTACACCTCTAAACTTCGGTAGAACGAGTTTAGGTAACTTTGCCTTTGGATTAGCTAACGAGCTAGAGTTAGTTTGTTGAACCATACCTGCATGATCGGTGCTCCCCGATGATTGCGTGTTTCCAGCGTGTAGTGTGTTCGCATTCGAGCTCCCCGACGCCTGAACTGAAGGAACTCCAGAATCCAAATTTAACGTTGCATTCGCGTGTAGATTTCCAGATATAGGAGGCGACTCCAGGGACGCCAAGGGCACCTTAATTCCACCAATTTTCGTGATGTTCAACTTGT